GTTACTTTAGCTGTGTGAAGTGGTGATGCCACGCACGAGTGCTGTTACTTTAGCTGTGTGAATTGGTGATGCCACGCACGAGTGCTGTTACTTTAGCTGTGTTATCTGGGCGGAGTAGTGATGCCACGCACGAGTGCTGTTAATTTAGCTGTGTGAAGTGGTGATGCCACGCACGAGTGCTGTTTATCTGGACGGAGTAGTGATGCCAAGCCTCTTTGCTGTTTCTACAGCTGTATCAAGGACTTCTTTCGACTTTGTGCAGCTCAGAATTCACATTTTTGCTCAATAAAATAACTGTTCAGACGCTGAGCCCGTGCAATGAAACCTTTCGTTGCCATGCACTACCTTAGTAAATCTCTCAGGAGAATAAAATCGACTATGGCAGAGGATTGAAGAACACATAATTAGAATTTTTGTCGAGGATATCAAACCGGTGCTCGCTGAGTTGACCAGATCTGCATCATTTGTTCTTCAATTGTATAAATACTTCTGAAATTTACTGCAATTCTAGCCCTGTCTGTGTTTAAAATTGGGTCGTGTTAAGGATAGGTTAGAAGTCACGTGTTTTATCTTTGTATTTGCTTGCTGCTAATGAAACAGAATGTACACATTGAAGCTCCGAAATTTATCTGTTAATATGACATGAACACACACTCGCGCGCTACGCGCCGTGAAGCACGCGCATACGCGTGTGTGCAGCCGCGGTCTATCACTTCCGTCGCTTGCTAAATTCTCGACTCTGCAGTGCCCAGTTGTACGGCTAAACACTCAATCATAATTTGGGCATCTTTGCGGCAATAAATGGGGATCAGGCCGGGCATTACTTACGTACTCATGCTTGGCTCGCCACCTTGTCATTTGTTCGAGTCATGGCTAGCTGTACTAATATTCCAACCTCCTGTTAGTTTTCTCAGTTGTTGTTGTTTTCGGTCTCAGATTTGATTCACTCCCAGTAAATGTGTTGCATTCACACGTTGTTTCTATCGCCCACTTTAACGTTAAGTTCCTCATTAAGCCGTGGCGTCATCCTTAAGTGGGCGTTGATGTCATGATGATGAGTTCTGACCGTGATCGAGGACGCACGTAGTGTTTGCGGGTCCCAACTTTCTCCCTTTTTACTATGCCGGTTTGACTTATCTCGCGAATTTTGTACCGAAACGATTTCAGTGAAAGGTTCAATTTTAGTGCAGTTCAATCAAAATTGTGCGAATAGTGAAAAAAACGGCTAGTACAAGTGTTTTATTCCCGACAAATTCTAGTGCATGAAACGGGGGCAAGTTTTTGAAACCCTCGGCGACCGCCTGTAACCGGAGAACAATCGGTGCCTTGACTACGCTCAGGCCTCGCCTTCCTATACCCTCCCCACCCTCTTGGCCCCTACACCTCCCCCTCTCCACCACCCGCCTTACGCGTTGATACCTTGATTCCCCCACCACACCTCTGTCTTTCCCTCGCCAGCTGCAGCTCAGCTGTTTTTCCAGCCTTAATTTTCAAGGGAACTTTACTATACTCAACTCAACTCAGTCGCATGTTTCTCCATCCTTTTCTGTATTTTTCTCCGTTCAAGAGATCTAGTTCGTGCATAATGGCTGGACAGAAAATAATAAAAAAGATAGTCGAAAAACCCTCAACGGCCTCTAGAGAAAAGCTATCTACGGCCTCTAGAATAAAAAATAAAACCAAATCAGCCCAGCTAGAGATGGAAGTTTGCAAGTACTGCAAAGAGATCTCTCTGAGCGAAGTCCAGACAGCCACCTGTGAACGATGTGAAGATCTCATTTGTATCAGCTGTTCTCCATCAGCTCTAAGGAGTACTCATTTCTCCAGAAATCTAAATTGCTTCATTGGTTTTGCCGTGATTGTGAAAAACCAACTCTTGGTGCTCGAAAAAGAGAGGAGTTAGTGGAAGAGCACGGCAATGAGTCGAAATTGTTGAATGATGTAGTAAACTCCTTGAGTGAGATGGTGCGCTCGCTGAGTGACAAACTGAACTCGCTATGCAATGAGCTGACTGAAGTGAAGGCTCAGTTGAAAAATACGGAAGAAATGGAAGTAAAGAACAAGACAGCTGATTTATCTGAAGTCGCTAATGACAGCTCTCGTGAATTGCTTGATAGAGAACGTAGGAAGGCCAATCTGTTTTGGTTTGGGATTCCTGAAAGTAACGCATCTGATGCGAAGGACCGAGTGATGGATGACACGGCCTTTGTTGTAGACTGTTGCAGCAAGGTACTCAACACATCGATTGATGTTATATCTTGCAAGAGGCTACGCTCGAAGAATACTGCTATCAACACCTTCAGACCTCTGCTGGTGACTGTAAAGGATTCTGCTCAGGTCTGGAGCGTGCTGAAAACAGCGAGAAAGCTTGGTGAATCCGCTGATTACAAGTCAGTTTTTGTAAAGAAAGATTCCACCCCCTTAGAGATGGCGGTTTTTCGCAAGAAGTGGCAGGAGAGAATCAGGCAGAAAGGCAAGGAAAATCAGGTCAATCACTTCCAAGCTGCCAAGACAACACCGGCTGCTCAAGGACAGTCAGAGGAGATGGAGGACAAGTAATTAGTAGGAATGATGTCCGTAGATTAAGGCCTGTAAATAATGTAGGGAGTAACCGCATACATCAAAGTGAAAGTGCACAAAAAGTTTTAAAATGTTTTTACACGAACTCGGATTCCGTTTTGAACAAAAAATTGAACTGTTAACTGTGATCGCAAACGAGTGTATAGACATTATTTGTATTACAGAAACACTTCCTAAAAATCACGGGGGGAAAATTGTACCTGTTGAATTTCAGCTGCCAGGTTTTGATTGTTTTCATAACTTAAATGAAGAGCAGTGCAGTAGAGG